TATATATATATAGTGCAGGACTACTGGGATGGCATTCCCTGAAAAAAAGACCATTTGTGTCCTTTGTAGCTAACCCTACATCCCTGTACTGATATGTACAGAGCTGGCTAGGAAAATACTGTACCTCCTCAATTGGCTTTAAGCAATGCAAAAGGGTCCAGCTGAGGCCCTGATGTATAGCTTTGAAACTATGCAATAGGTCAGCGATGCCACGCCTATAGTTCCCTCCTACTAGGCTGAGCTAGGCTGAGAGATGATGCACTGTTGGCTGGGACTGACCCTTAAGAAAGAGGCCGTGATATCCCAGGTCGGGAAGGCCAGACACCAAAGCTGAGGCAACCTACCAAAAGCACAAAATAGTTCCTCAGACTGTGTCATGCAGATTCCTCCAAACTTAGCAGCTACTGCTACTGGTACTCCTTCTGCATAGCTCTCTGCATACTGTAGAGGTGCTATTGGACCCCCACATAGCCCAGCTCACAGAACCCACACTTCCCGCCATTCTCACAGTCACTCTATCCCAAGCCACTCCCCTTCACGAATTAATAAAACCTAGGTCCTGTTCTAGAGCATACCTTCATTCCAGTGCGCCATTGTTCGGACTGGGCTTAGGACCCCCTTTATTCCCCACAGCTGCAGATGCATTGGTCTGTATTATCTATCTCTATGATGGGTTGCGCTGGAAGTGGTAGATTGGCATACACTTAATAGAAGTCCAATAACTCTTTCCTGGAATTACAAATATAAATTCCTCTGGACCAAGATGAGGCTGGAGTGGGCTCCCTATAATATAGGGTACATAACTAAAACTTTTTGGCAGTTATCCATTTAAACAAAGTTTGATTTTTTTTTTTTTTGAGGAACCGGGGATTGAACTCAGATCCTTGCGTTTGCCAGTCAAGCGCTTATCCTACTGAGCCATCTCCCCGGCCCCTTTAAACAAAGTTTGAGAACCACCGCTCTTGAAACTGAGAGCCCATCCTCATTCCATTCCCTGATGGTAGTAAGAAAAGGGGAATCCAAAGATCAATTTACAGAAAGAGATGCACAAACTATTTAAACACCCACAGAGAGAGTCACGACTCCACCCAAGAACTATTATAAGCTTATAAAACAATACCTCAAAGAAGTATTGTTCTAAAGTAAAAGTAAACTGAACTGATGTTCACATATTTGAGTTTCTAATAACAAGTAAGAAACAAGGGGGCTGGCAAGATAGCTCAGCGGTCTAAAGCGCCTGCTTAGACAAGAGCCCAGGGACTTCAGTTCAATCCGCAGCACCACATGCCGTGGCAGCCCTGCCCCCAGGTGGGCTGAGCCAGCCCAAAAAAAAAAAAATTCTTTCCCAGAATTCTCTAACAGCAGCAACAAGTGGACTTTGGAAGTTTTATCTGAGATTCTGTTCTAGGAAAGAGGGAATAGAGTTGAGCATTGGCCAGCGAGAGACTTGGTTTGAGTACACACACTAAAACTTTTGGGTACTTGACCTAGAAGTTACTTAAGTTCGCAAAACCTCAGTCTGTAAATCCTTTTTAAAATTTATTTTTAAACTTTAAAACAATGTATCATTAGTCAGTAGGGAAATAATGCATCATTAATCATTAGGGAAATGCAAACAAAGCCATAATGAAATATGTTTTCATACTCATTAGAATAGCAATAATAAAAAAAATACATTTTGAAGAGAATATAGAAAATTTGAAACCCTTACTGTTGATGGGAAAAATCATACATTCAGCTTTGGAATGAAGCTTGGAAATCTGACAGCTCTTCAGATGTTAAACATACACTACCATGTGACCCAGCATTTCTTTCCCAGGTACGTTATGTACCCAAAAGAACTAAAAATTTATATCCTCGGCCTGGGGAGATAGCTCAGTGGACTAAGTGCCTGCTTAGGCAGGCACAGGGATCAAGGTTCGACCCCTGATACCACAAGCCACGCCAGCCTCACCCGGGGGCTGGGTGAGCCGGCCACCAAGCCCCTGCATGGTGGCACACTCCTGTAATCCCAGCAGTGGGGAGGCTGAAAACGGGAGGATCATTATGAGTCTGAGCTACATAATGAGACTTTGTACCAAATACACAAAAAAGGAAATTTATACCCCACACATACTCATATATTCGAAAAGGAGAAATAGCACATATACCCATTTGAGTATTCTGGACTATTGGTAGTAAAAAGGACATGGATTACCATCAAAACAAATGAAAATCATTAAAAGTAAATTAATCATAATACATAAAATTATTTTTAAATAGTTTAGAACTTTATAGCAGTAATGCCTTTTTTTTTTTTTTTTTTTTTTTTTTTTTTTTTTTTT